GCTGCCCCGCCACCGCCTCCCCTAGCTCAGGTCCTGGCTCACAGGCACACGCGTCTCGGGACTAGGCCGCAGGCAGTTCCGGCAGCGCCGGTTCCCGGGAGGCCGCACCGGCAGGGACGGTGGCAGGGCACGGCAACCAGGCCTCACTCCTGGGGTAGTGGCTAGCTCTGCGCCTGCGCGTAACAGAACACACGCCTGCCCTCGCCCTTCCTGAGGCTCCGCCCACCGCGGAGTGACGGAACGAATCCCCGCCCCCGATCGACCTCTCCTACCGCACCGCGGGCGCACTTAGCTGTCTCTACAGCGCCACCTATGGGCCGTCAGGCGGTACAGCGGGGTCCTGTAGCGCAGTGGGGTAAGCGGCCCTGAAAATACGCGGTAGGATTAAACCCATCTTTCTCGTTTTATCCTTCCCTGTCAAGGATTGTCCATTTAAAGTCCGTAACATACTTTCTGCCTCGAAATTTGTATGAGTGTGTATCAATCGTTTTCTGAGGAGAAGGCCTAAAGTCTTAAAAGTGTGCCGGACTCCCAAAGAGATGACTATTTTAGGATTTGTAGAGCATCTGTAACGGTCCAGCCACAACTTTTGAACAACTAAGTTTTTAAGCTTTCAGGTTTTTTTAAGTTTTATTTTATTTATTTTTTTCTAAGAAACAGCGAGCCCCCCAATAGAGTCTTTCCCTTTTAATTCCCCCCCAGCCTCAGACAGCCTGTGCATACTATGGGAGGACTTGGGACACTAAATAAGCCCCTTCCCGTGTGGAGATAGTTCTGCTGTCTCCTGGCCGCTGAATAGCTCCTTTGATGAGCCTTGGAGAGGAGAAACTACAGTTTTTGGCCCGAAATGTCCTTTCTTTGCTAACTAGTCCAGTGCAATTTCCTAGGTGCAACCGTGTGCCGATCTTTAAGGCCTTCTCTCCTAGCCCGGCCTTCTCTCCTAGCCTGGCCTTCTCTCCTAGCCCGGCCTTCTAGAAGAAGAAATCTCATTTAATGCAGGGAGTCTGGGGCCGTCTATCTAAGAGAGTGGAGAGTGGGGACTACTTTTGTGATTTTTTGAGTCTGGGGACATCTATCTAAGAGGGTGGAGAGTGGGGACTGCTTTTGTAATTTTTTTTTTTTTTGGTGATTATTTGTGTGGGAGTTAGAGAAGTGTGATTGCTAGACAGAGGCCTAGAAATTGCTGGTGTGTGTGAAGACAGAACACAGGAGAAGGAACGGACTTTGGTCAAGTGTTATTGTAAACTGTGTTTTATCTTCTCTTTGAAAAGTAAAAGTAAAGAATAGAAATTTAAAAAATTCTGCCTGTGAAATCGCTACTTAATGAAGGCACATCTGTAAAAGGGGGCCAGTTAAGGTCTTTTAAGGATTATTTTCCCCATTACTAAAAGGTTAAAAACATGGGATCCTATGTCTGTCTTCATTGGGATTTCAACTCTCACTCGCTAATTTCTCACCTGTGAAATAAGAATGGTAATATCTATATCACAGGATTATTGGGAGGATTATATGTGTTACTATGTGAAAGTATCTGGAATAGTGAATGTTATGTAGTAACACTCAATAAATGTTTATCATTATTACTCGTAGGGAAACTCAGGGATGGAATTTGGAGATGAAAATGGAATTTTGAATATCATAAATGATAATTAGTTTATAATACTCAACTCAATAAATGCCTATCATTATTACTTGTAGGGGAAACTCGGGGATGGAATTTGGAGATGAAAATGGAATTTTGAATATCATAAATGATAATTAGTTTATAATACTCAACTTCCTTTGAATACTCAAAAACGATCTTAGTAACACATAAAATAATGATGTATCATAGCCTCTGCCTGCTAGGACATAACAATTATTATGGAAAATGTTTAGCAATTCGAGAGTAAGGTCTAGTCCACAATATTACATAATACAGGCACAAATGCTAAGGTTTTTCAAATAAGGTGTTTGATAAACTGAAAAAATTCAGTGATGAACAAAATCCAACCTGGAACTTTGAGAAGGACTTGGATATGAAAAACAGACATTTGAGGAAGATGCATCCTGTGTGTAGAACACAGAGGGAAACAAGACTTTTATTTTAATTTAATTAAAAAAATTTTTATTGACAAAGGGTACATGGGTTTGTTGGAGACAGTCTGAGGCAAATAAGAGATACAGTACTTCATCAGTTATATTGGAGTTTTAAACTCAGAATGTTTCATTGTATATTATGTTTACTTACAGAATTTGTACAAAAATACTCATATATTTTGCCTGTATCTGGTGATAATCATTGGCTCAGAGTAGGATGGGCCAGATTAGGCCTAGCTAAGAGTGACATTCTTGCTTTACTCTCAACTGTTTCCTGGAAATTTGGGGGTAGGAATTTCTTTGTAGAATTGCCATTTTCTATTTGGAATAGCAGTGGTAATAGCTAGTACTATGTTTTCCAGAGCTAGTTCCATTATTTGGGAGCTCAGAGAACTAGGTAAAATGACAGGTGTAAGTTGATATTAGCTTTCATATTAAGTGGAGCTTGAATCCTGTTGATACTTCTGATTTGGTTAGAATCACATTTTCTCTTTTACAATATGAGTACCTGTCCTACAATTATTATTATTATTTGTAGTGGAATGAAAAGTGCCTCTGTTTTTTCTCTTCCTGCTTATTTCATAACCCATCTAGCCTGGATCCTACATCTGCCACTCCTCTGGAGCATCTCTTCTGCGGATACTTTTTAGCCATGTTACCCTATCTCTCTATGATGTTCAACATAATCGATCTCTCTATCTTGGGATATTTTCTTTTCTTGATTTCCAGACTCCCACATTTAGTTTTGTTTTTCAAGGAAGTCCAATTTCTTTATGTCCAAACGTAAACTTACGATCTTTCCTCCAAACTTGAAATTTAAGTATTGTCCCTAACACCTCCTATGATCTATCTGTAATTTATCACTATGTTGCATTATTATCATTTGTTGAGAGAGAGAGGAGGAGAAGGAAGGAAGGGTGAAGGGGGAGAGAGAGAGAGATTTTTGACAAGGTCTGGCCATTGTTATCCTATGCTGCAGGCTCTGAGTTAGCTTGGATTACAGGCCTATGCTACCGTACCCTACCTGTTCAAGTTGGTTTGTGATATGAATGTGGACTTTCCCTGAGATGTGGCTTCAGCCTTGTGTAGCAGCACCTACTGCTTGTGCTGGGCCATAGTTGCATCATCTTCATTATTATCAAGTTTGCTATAGGGTATATGTGCTCACTGGGGGAAAAGAGACAGAGAGAGAGAGAGAAAGGGAAAATGAGACGTCGTCGACCCCCCCACTTCTTGCTCCAGGGGAGTATGACCATGCTGCAGTCCCTTCTCTTCTCTTCCAGTCTCTTCTTGGGACTTTGGACACACATGCACACTTGTTTGGTGTGATTTTCAAGCCGCTGAGCCCAGGACTCAAATCGCACAGTCAGCCATGTGGGATCCAGCAACCTTAACCATGTTCTCAGGAAGTGTTTCTAAAACCTTTGGTGTAGATAAAATAACCATATTATAGGTTCTCGAGGTACTATGCACCTCTTCTTTATCATAGGATAGTTTTTTGATTTATTGGCTAGATTGATTAGTTGATTCAGCCCCATGAGGCTAAGAACAGAGACTGTTTTACCTTTCTTTTTTGTTTTTAGTATTTGCGGTAGAGTGCGTGCAGTCACTGGAGAGAGACAGAGACAGAGAAGGAAAGTGAGAAATCATCTTCCCCCTGGTGGAAGCCACACCACAGTCCCTACTCTTTCATTCTCTTGGGATTTTGGGCGTGTACACACATGCACCTGGTGTGATTTTTGTTTGTTTGTTTGTTTCTTTCTTTCTAGAGAAATTTTAGCTATAGGGTGCATGTGCTCACCAGAGACACAGAGAGACGGTGAGAAATCACCTCCTGGGGGGATGGCCACACTGCAGTCCCTTCTCCTCCATTCTCCTCTTGGGATTTTGGGCACACACACACATGCACCCAGTGTGAATTTCAAGCTGCTGGGTCCAGGACTCGAACTGTGGTTGGCCATGTGGGAATCTAGCGCCATAACCACTATGCCACCTGCTGGCCCCTGGTGTGATTTTCAAGCCTCCAGGTCCAGGACTTGCCTTTCTGGGTTAGCTATGTGAGATTCAGCCGCCTTAACCTCCATGCCACCTGCTGGCCTCTACTTCTCCTTTCCATCACCTCCCTTATGTAGCCCAGTATTTGAAATAGCAGACATTCAATAATATTTGCTAAAAGAGTGAGTGAAGGTTTCTATATATTAATATATTCCAGAATACCTATTCCTTCTGAAAAAAGTTTTTTTCCACATTATAAGTGAACTTTGTCTCATCACATACAAATGTAGTTTATGTAAACCCAACTGTATACACTCAGTCCCACAAAAATGAGAGTAGGAGAAAGTGACAGTCAAAATGTACACAATTCTGCTTAACATTTCAGTCAGTGAACCCTCAGGTGAGCATGCGATGGTAGGTGTAAATCTACCTTGCCTTCAGTTGGTCTCAGTTCTTGGGCGGTTCTGATGTCATCCTCTCACTATATTGTGATTCATTTTTTTTTTTAAGAATTATTAAATTAAATTAATTAATTAGTTAATGCATTTTAATTTGACCAGAGAGGGACAGAGTGAGAGAGAGAGCATGAGAGACAGAAAGTGAGAAAGCAAACTGCCAGATCCAGGACTCAAACTGTGGTTGGCCGTGTGGGAGTCCTGCACCTACCACTTGCCTACTGTGTTTATTGTGATTCTAAGAGGAGATACAATGTGGATTTTTCTTATGATACTCAA